GGTTCTTCAGTTAGGTTTGGGAAAATAGCAACTGTTGACTCAGAAAAAGCAAACATTGATTGGCATGCCTGGTTTTGCATCCTGTTATTCTAAGACAGGGGGATTAGGACTGCAGCTCCCCTGAGTGGATGAGAGATTGATTCTGTTCTCATTGGAATACAGAGGTTCTAGAAGGCAAGGGTATCCTCCCTGTGCTCCTTCTTGTCTTTCTGACACCAAAGGGGAAAAGAAATGGACGACTCCCGGAGGGCGGCCCCTTCTAGTGGGGAGAGACGCTTCAGGGGCGTGTTGCTACAGGATTTCTAGAACCGAAATCTGCAGGGGAACACCCCTCCACCCCCAGCCCCACCCCGGGGGAGCTGAGAACTGATCTGCCTCCACAAGTCCTCCATTTTTGACAGAGCTGCTGTTTGGTAGTGCTAGATGGGGCAATATGTGGACTCTGCCCCCTTGAGGTCACTCAACCTTCCCTCCACCCCCACCTGGGGGTATTGCACAAGGGACCTGGAAGTGACCATAGGAGCAGAGCTCATCTGCCACACTTATAGTTTGGGGAGCCCCATTCTCTCCAAAACCCGACTGCTCATCCTTTCCTTGATCTCCCCAGATTCTCTTCACAGCATCCTGACCAATCCTCAACTCTTCTCTTTCTCCATGCCCAGCCAAATTTCTCTTTTTTTCAGTCACTTACAGGACAGCCGGTCAAAATTCACTAGGTAGGAGGGCCATCAGCTGGGAAGAATCGGGGCTGGGGGCACCTGGCTGTATAGGTATGGGGGATCCAGGCCAGTTCCGTAGTCCCCGGCCCCACCACGGCAGTCCCCCAACTCTAAGCACTCTCACTCTTCTGCTGCTCCTCTGTGGACATGGTAAGGAACGGCCAGGGAAGGGCTTGGGAGACCCCAGGGGTGGGCCTGTGAGCCTGTGTGCCTGAGGCAGAACGGCTGCGGGCAGTACCAGGCACCCGCCCTACTCTCAGGGACATTTCATGTCCCACTGGACTTGGGGAAGGGCCCTGGGAAGAGCTTGGTGGACAGAGGAGACCATGTGGGCTCACACACTTTAATAAGACTGAGGGAGGACAGGACCAGGGGGCGGAGGGGGAGAGCAGGGGCTTGGCTAGGTTTTAGGAACGACTGGAATCTCCTGATGAGATTTGGAAGTTAGGAGGAGACTCTTCGAGCAGGGATGTGGGAACCGCCTCACAATCTGCTCCCTTCCGTCCTCAGCTCATTCGCAATGCAAGATCCTCCGCTGCAATGCTGAGTATGTATCGTCCACCCTGAGCCTTAGAAGTGGGGGTTCGCCAGGAGGGCTTCGAGGGGGCGGCGGCAGCGGCGGCCGAGCAGGAGGAGCCGGCTCCGGCGGCCTCTGTCGGGCGCTGCGCTCCTACGCGCTCTGCACTCGGCGCACGGCCCGCACCTGCCGCGGAGATCTTGCCTTCCACTCCGCCGTGCACGGCATCGAGGATCTCATGATTCAGCATAACTGCTCCCGCCAGGGCCCTACGGCTCCTCCCCCGCCCCGCGGCCCTGCCCTTCCAGGAGCAGGTCCTGGCCCCCCAACCCCAGACCCCTGCGACTACGAAGGCCAGTTTTCGCGGCTGCACGGTCGTCCCCCGGGCTTCTTGCACTGCGCCTCCTTCGGGGACCCCCACGTGCGCAGCTTCCACCACCACTTTCACACGTGCCGTGTCCAAGGAGCTTGGCCCCTGCTGGATAACGACTTCCTCTTTGTCCAGGCCACCAGCTCCCCCGTGGCAACGGGGGCCAACGCCACCACCACCCGGAAGGTCAGGGTCTCAATTTTCCTCCAGGGGTCTTCATGAGATTTTCTAAGGGTTCCCCCACCCATCCCACCGCCTCCCCAGCCCCATCATCCCACAGCAGTGCTCCCAATCCCCACTCTCACATCCCCGGTCCCTCCCTCCTACCAAGCGCTTTTTCCTGTGAATCGGTTTCCTTCCATGGGAATGTCCCTCAAATGCTGAAACCGCTAAGGAGAAAATTGGGGCAAGAGGAGCTGAGGCGCTTCAGAAGTCTCCTTGGGAGACTGGGACCAACAAGTAGAGAGAGGGGCTGAGGGGGAAGGAAGCAGTATTGGAGCACAGGTAGGAGAAGGGATCCAGGACTGAGGGCCGTGAGAAGCCTTGTCTCCCAGCTTGGATGGGAGCCCTGACTTTGTGCATGCAGGTGGCCTGATGGGAGGGTGCGTTGAGCCCCAAATGAACCATTCTCTGTCTTGCTCACACAGCTCACCATCATATTTAAGAACATGCAGGAGTGCATCGATCAGAAGGTCTACCAGGCCGAGGTGGACAATCTTCCCGCAGCCTTTGAAGATGGTTCTATCAATGGAGGCGACCGACCTGGGGGCTCAAGTCTGTCCATTCAGACTGCTAACCCTGGGAGCCACGTGGAGATCCGAGCCGCCTATATCGGCACAACTATAATCATTCGGCAGACAGCTGGGCAGCTCTCCTTTTCGATCAAGGTAGCAGAGGATGTGGCCAGGGCCTTCTCGGCTGAGCAGGACCTGCAGCTCTGCGTTGGGGGGTGCCCGCCAAGTCAGCGGCTCTCCCGCTCAGAGCGCAGTCGCCGGGGAGCTATCACCATAGACACTGCCAGACAGCTGTGCAAGGAGGGGCTTCCGGTTGAAGATGCTTACTTCCATTCCTGTGTCTTTGATGTGTTAATCTCTGGTGACCCCAACTTCACTGCAGCAGCTCAGGCAGCTCTGGAAGATGCGCGCGCCTTCCTCCCGGACTTAGAAAAGCTGCACCTCTTCCCCTCAGATGTTGGGGTCCCTCTCTCCACAGCCACCTTCCTTGCCTCACTCCTTTCCGGACTCTCTGTTCTGTGGCTTTGCATCCAATAAGTACGCAGCAGCTCCGTGACTGGTTTGGAAATTATTGGGGGATAGAGGTTGGCATGAAAGAAAATAAAGAATTGCTAGAGGAAACAGTGGGGACTGCAGACATATTCAGCGATGTCTCTATCCAGGGTCAGATGTGGCTGCCGTCCTGGGTTGAAATGAGCACAGAATGAAGATCTAGACCAGGTCTCTGCATTGCAGACCTGTGCAGGGGCTCTTCATCACATTTCCCAACCCCATTGTATAGCAGGCAGATTGTTCCGATCCAGCTGCTCCTGACATTGCCCCTGCAAATGAGGAGGCATCAGGGTCCTGATGATCAGGGCAGAACTTAGGGATTGAGATTTTTCTAGAGGCAAGAACTGAAAAAGGAAGACATGGCCATGACCCATAAGAAACCCCCAGGAAATAGGGAAAGAAGTCTACTTGATGAGCAAAGTATTTTCTGCTTTCTTAGTTTGGAAATCAAGTGGGCATCGTGTGGATCTTAGGTGAAAGGGTCTCTGCTTTTGCAGAATGGTACAGATAGACCAGCAGCCATCATCCACACCCCTGATGAACCTGTTCCGAAAGCCATGAGTCCTCCGTTGCCTGGGTTGTGTGTCTTTACAGAGGCTTGAAAGGGAACAAAGGCAACGTGCTCACTCCACTCGAGGACTGAGAAGGCCCGGGTACTGCTTACGCCCTCAGGGGTTTATAGACCACTGGTGAGACAAAACTGACCCACATGAAGGACTCATGAGTGGGTAATTGCTCACCGCATTCTATGGCGCTTGAATTCAGATAGGAAGACGGTTGACGAGAAGTAAAGTAATAAGAAGCAGTCAAAGAGCAGAGGAGGAGACGGAATTTGAACAGAGGTTTGAGGAGTCTGTTAAGGACTTTCCAGACAATGGAAACCATCCAGGGTTATGCATAGATTCAGGATTTAGGGAGGACAGCAGCAAAACTCAAATAAAGGAGCTGGGACTATTAGGATAGAAAGTTATGGAGCACCTTGAAAGTGCGGTCAAGAAGACTTTTTTTTTTTAAAAAGATTTATTTATTTGAAAGGCAGAGTGAGAAAGAGACAGAGATAGATCTTGCATTCGATGGTTCACTCCCCAAATGGCTGCAACAGCCAGGCCTGGGCCAGGTCATAAGCCAGAAGCCAGGAGTTCTATCTTGGTCACCCAAGTAGGTGGTAGTGGCCCAAATACATTGGCCATCATCCACTGCCTTCCCAGGCACATTAGCAGGACACTGGATTGGAAGCAGAGCAGCTGGGACTCCAACTTGCTTAATCTACCGAGCCACAACACCATCCCATATTTAATATTTATTGAAAGCTTAAACTTTGCTAGGCAGTGTTCTTTTTTTTTTTTTTTAAGATTTGCTTATTTTTTTAATAAATCTTTTTTTTATTTTTTTTATTATTATTATTTTTTTGACAGGCAGAGTGGACAGTGAGAGAGAGACAGAGAGAAAGGTCTTCCTTTGCCGTTGGTTCACCCTCCAATGGCCGCCGCGGCCAGCGCACCGCGCCGATCCGATGGCAGGAGCCAGGATCCAGGTGCTTTTCCTGGTCTCCCATGGGGTGCAGGGCCCAAGCACCTGGGCCATCCTCCACTGCACTCCCGGGCCACAGCAGAGGGCTGGCCTGGAAGAGGGGCAACCGGGACTAGAACCCGGTGTGCCGGCGCCGCTAGGCGGAGGATTAGCCTGTTGAGCCGCGGCGCCGGCCAGATTTGCTTATTTGAAAGAGTTACAGAGAGAGAGAGAGAGACAGAGAGATCTTCCAAGCTGCTGGTTCATTCCCCAACTGGCTGCAATGGCCAGGGCTGGGCCAAGCCAAAGCCAGGAACCAGGAGCTGCATCTGGGTCTCCCACTTGGGTGCAAGTGCCCAAGCACTGAGCCATCTTCTTGCATTCTATGGTTCACTCCCCAAATGGCTGCAACAGCCAGGCCTGGGTGCATTAGCAGGAGCTGGCTTGGAAGTGGAGCAGCCAGGACTCAAACCAGTACCCATGTGGGATGCCAGCATCGCAGGTAGTGGCTAAACCAGCTATGCCACGACATTGGCCCCTAGACCATGTTCTAAACACTTTATTCTTTTAAAATCAACAACTTGTATTCTCATTCACATATTTCACACAAGAAGGAATGCAGCATAGAAGTCAGGTTGTATGGGGGTATAAATCCAGGTTTGCACACGTTGCTCTATTTGCATGTGGGAGCCAGGCTCTCAGGGGCGCAGCAGCTGCATTTGTTTGATGCCCCTTTGCAGATGCAGCCCTGGGCACACTGGACACAGCCCACTGGGCAGCAGCTCTTCCTGCAGGACATGCATGTGCAAGAGCTGGCACAGGTGCAGGAGTCACTGGTGATGCAGGAGCAGCTGGGCTCCATTTTGAGCCCAGGTGAAGCTGGAAATACAAAGCGAAAGGTGAAGAGTCAGTCCGGCAGTTGGAAGGTGTGTTAAACACTTCAAATATTTTTAAAAGATTTATTCATTTATTTGAGAGGTAAAGTTACAGAGAGGAGAGACAGAGAGAAAGGTCTTCCATCCACTGGTTCACTCCCCAAATGGCCGCAACAGCTGGAGCTGGGCCAATACGAAGCCAGGAGCAAGGAAATTCTTCCAGGTCTCACATGCAGGTGCAGGGGCCCAAGCACTTGGGCCATCTTCTACTGCCTTCCCAGGCCATAGCAGAGAGCTGGATGAGAAGAGGAGCAGCCACGACATGAACTGGCGCCCATATGAGATGCCAGCCCCACAGGCAGAGGCTTGGCCTACTGTGCCACGGCGCCGGTCCCATTTTAGTTTTTTTTTTTTTTTTTTTTTCAACACTTTAAATATTAATGCACTTAGGCCGGCACCGCGGCTCACTAGGCTAATCCTCCGCCTAGCGGTGCCAGCACACCGGGTTCTAGTCCCGGTCGGGGCGCCGGATTCTGTCCCGGTTGCCCCTCTTCCAGGCCAGCTCTCTGCTGTGGCCAGGGAGTGCAGTGGAGGATGGCTCAGGTGCTTGGGCCCTGCACCCCATGGGAGGCCAGGAAAAGCACCTGGCTCCTGGCTCCTGCCACCGGATCAGCGCGGTGCGCCGGCCGCGGCGGCCATTGGAGGGTGAACCAACGGCAAAGGAAGACCTTTCTTTCTGTCTCTCTCTCTCTCACTGTCCACTCTGCCTGTCAAATAAATAAATAAATAAATAAATAAATAAAAATATTAATGCACTTAATTCTCATAACTCTCGGATAAAGTCCTTATCTCTATTTGTATATAAGGAAACAACTGAAGTACAGAAAGATTGCCTTTCCCAGTCACACAGCTAATGAGTAGCAGAGCCAGAAACTGAACCAGGCAGTCTGGATCCAGAAACTCAGCTCTCAGTCACCACACTAAGTTGATATTGGTTGTAGAGCTGGACAGAGAAGGGTACGTAGGGAGGGTGGTGCCACCACAAAAGCTATTCTCTTGTCATATGAAGGCAAAGTTCAAGAGTTGGGAAAGGAATGCAAAGCTCGGAATTGAAGGAGAAGCAAGACTGAGCCGAGAAGCGGTTCCAGTGCCAGGTGCTGGGAAGTGCAGTGCTGTTCCGAACAGCCTGAGGAAGGAAGTTAACCTTTTTCTTTGGTGTCTTGCCCTGGCTTCCGGTCTCAGCCTTTCCTTCAGGTACCCTGTCCTCGAGGGCCTGCCCTCCTGGTTGAATGCCACACTCACTGCTCTCTTTGCCCTCTCCTCTCAACCTCTCTCCTGGACGCACACACACACTGGCCCGTGCTTACCAGACCAAGGGTCCTATCTGATCTCCTGTTTCTTATTTCTTCTGCAAATTTTCAACCCCATGCCCTCCTCTCTAGAGTCACAGAAATAACCTGTAGCTAATCTGAAAAGAGTCTGTTATAACAGAAGAAAAAGGGGAGGAGTATCCGAGTGCCAGGGCCATCCTTTCACTTACAGAGAATTGGCATTTTAATACAAAACATCCTTTTAAAAGAACTGCTCCTTTTATTGGTTCTCTTAAAAGAGTAACTTTATCTCCCAGGGGTGGGAATTTTATATCAATTAAGAAAAATTTCAGGGTTGGTGCTATGGCATAGAGGGTAAAGCCACAGTGCCGGCATCCCATATGGGCACTGGTTCATGTCCCAGCTGCTCCACTTAATGGCCTGAGAAAAGCAGTGGAAGATGGCCTGATTGCTTGGGCCCCTGCTACCCACGTTGGAAACCTGGAGGAAGCTCCTGGCTTTGGCCTGACCCAGTCCTGGCTATTGCAGCCATCTGGAGAGTAAACCAGTGCATGGAAGATCTCTCTTTGTATCTCCTTCTCTCTGTAACTCTTTTAAATAAATAAATAAAAATCTTTTTTTTTTAAAAAAGATGCTTAACATCATTAGTCAGGTAGATGCAACTCAAACCAAATTGAGAAAATACTACACACCCAATATAATCACTAAAAATAAGACTAATACTACTAAGTGTTGCCATGATGTGACACTTTCATAGTATGCTGCGGGTAGCAGTGTAAAAATGGTACAACCATTTTGCAAAAAGGCTTGGCAACTTTTTCAGAGGTAAGCATACACTAACCCATCTAGATATTCCACTCCTATATATTGCTGGGAGAAACAACACATATCAGCACACAAACTTGTACACACATGTTCATAACAGTTGTAGCTGTAATAACCAAAAACTGGAAACAACTCAGTGTCCAACAACTAGTGAAGGATGCACTAATTGTGGCAAATGTATAAAACAGACTGCTTGGCCGGCGCCACAGCTCACTAGGTTAATCCTCCACCTGCGGCACCGGCACACCGGGTTCTAGTCCCAGTCAGGGCACCGGATTCTGTCCCAGTTGCTCTCTTCCACTCCAGCTCTCTGCTGTGGCCCGGGAGTGCAGTGGAGGATGGCCCAAGTGCTTGGGCCCTGCACCCACATGGGAGACCAGGAGATGCACCTGGCTCCTAGCTTCAGATCGGTGCAGCACGCTGGCCGTAGTGGCCATTTGGGGGGTGAACCAACAGAAGGAAGACCTTTCTCTCTCTCTCTCACTGTCTAACTCTGCCTGTCCAAAAAAAAAAAAGAGAGAGAGAGAGAGAGAGACTGCTTTAAGCAATAAAATGAATCAAACTTCTGATACATACAAAACATGGATGAATTGAAAGAAACCAGTATTCCCCCCCTCCACAAAGAGTTCCCCTTTCCCATTTATATAACACTATAGAAAATGCACACTGGTATGTAATGAGAGAAAGGAAATTAATGGCTGCTTGGGGCTGGGGTTGGGGAAGGCATACAGAAACCGCTGGCAGTGACAGACCAGGCCACTGTCTCGAGTATGACAGTTGTTTCAAGGGCACGCCCGTCAGATCCCACACAGCCAGACACTTTTAAGTATGTGCAATTTATTCAAGGATACAGTGGTAAAAACGTAATTTTTAAAACTGGCCTTCCACATCTCTGTGTTCCTCTGGTGTATCAGACACAGGCTTAGAATGACCAGCATGAACAGAAAGTGAAAAACAGAGAGCTTTCTTCATGAGAGGATGACAGGGCAAAGGAAAGAGAATTCTGAATTATTTTATGTTCTATCCTTTTCTCCTATCACAAAGATCTTATTCCTTCCTCAAGAAATCATTCTCAAGGACAGAGACCACGGAAAGGACGATTTACAGTTTGAAAACAACCCTGTGGCTTGGAATTCGCTTTCCACTTCACCAGTGGTCAGTAGATGGCGCTGGTGACTAAAAAGTTATTTAGTGGGCCAAGAACAATTTCTGACTTTATCCGATATGTTGACAAACTGAAAGGACATATTGACAGGTATTAGACAGAACTGAATAACATGTATTTAGCTGCATAATAAACTAAATAAGTTATTTAAATACATTATAATAACTTCACAACAAATAGCGGTTCAAAATATACTACTGGGTTCCACAATGGATTTTTTTTTTTTTAAGATTTATTTATTTATTTGAAAGTCAGAGTTGCACACACAAAGAGAGAAGAGAGGCACAGAGAGAGAGGTCTTCCATCTGCTGGTTCACTTCCCAACTGGCCGCAAAGGCTAGAGCTACGCCGATCCGAAGCCAGGAGCCAGGAGTTTCTACTGGGCCTCCCATGCAGGTGCAGGGGCCCAAGGACTTGGGCCATCTTCTACTGCTTTCCCAGGCCATAGCAGAGAGCAGGATCAGAAGTAGAGCAGCCAGGACGCGAACCGGAATCCATATGGGATGCTGGTGCCGCAGGCAGCGGCTTTAGCTGCTATGCCACAGTACCCGCAGCAATGAATTTTATTTGTAAACGCTGTAAACGCTGACTGCCGATTTAGCCAAAACTGTATTATAAGTCGACTGTGAGGAAAAAGAGGGTGGGATGCAGTGTGATACAAGAATTAAGATTTCAATTTCCGTAACCAGAAGATTGATAATATGTTTAATATTTCTAAATTAAGAAATAAAAGAAGGGCTAGTGTTGTGGCATAGTAGGTAATGCTGCTGCCTGCGACACTGGCCTCCCATATGGGCACTGATTTCTGTACCAGCTGCTCCAGTTTTGATCAAGCTCCCTGCTAATGGCCTCAGAAAAGCAGTGGAAGATGGCTCAAGTGCTTGGGTCCCTGCCACCCACGTATAAGATCCAGATGAAGCGGGCGGCGTGTGGCTCAGTGGGCTAATCCTCCGCCTGCAGCGCCAGTACACTGGGATCTAGTCCCGGTCAGGGTGCCGGATTCTGTCCTGGTTGCTCCTCTTCCAGGCCAGCCCTCTGCTGTGGCCCAGGAGTGCAGTGGAGGACAGCCCAGGTGCTTGGGCCCTGCACCCGAGTGAGAGACCGGGGGAAGCACCTGGCTCCCAGCTTCGGATCAGCTCGATGCGCCGGCCTCAGTGCACCGACAGCTGCGGCCATTGGAGGGTGAACCAATGGCAAAAGGAAGACCTTTCTCTCTGTCTCTCTCTCACTGTCTCTCTCTCTGCCTGTCAAAAAAGAAAAAATAAAAATAAAAGATCCAGATGAAGCTCCTGGCTCCTAGTTTTCATCCTGACCTGGCAGATGGAATCTCTCTCTCACTGTTTCTCTGTCTTTCCCTCTTTCTGTAACTCTTTCAAAATAAATAAATAAAATCTAAAAAAAAAGAAAAAGAAATAAAAGAAGCAGTATGTCACTTAGATGTATGAAGTAAATACCAGATGAAAAATCTAAAAGAACTAGAAGATTCTCAGTTTAGAAGGGTTTGTATAAGCACTTAATACTATGTGACTTTTAACTATATTGTTACATTATTTTATTTAAAAGGGATGGGACATGTTTACCTTGGCCTGAGCTTTTTCCCATGTTAACAACTTGGGCCATCGTCTGCTGCTTTCCCAGGTGCATTAGAAGGGAGCTGGATCAGAAGTATAGCAGCCAG